CCTAGGTCCCGTCCCCTATCCCCGCCTTTTGCCCCCTTCCCCACTACCTGGGGTAGAACCAAATCCCCATCACTCTTAGACAGAAAGGATGTGGCAAAGCGTCCCAACTCCCCCAAACCCTCTCCTTCCAAGGACGGCTCCCGCCAGGAGCGAAACTGAAAATGTGGAAGAAAAGACATGCCACCCTTTGTTTTTCAATCAGGCTGCTTTATTGCTTTGTGGTAGGAGACCCCCTGGCCTGTAGGAGACCCCTCTCCTCTACTGGCTTCTACTCTGTCGGGTCGAGCAAGAACAGGAGCAGCTTCCTGCTTGTCTGCAAGAGACCCTTCTCTGCGTGCGGGTCTTTCCTGTCCCCATGCGGTTACCACCGACCCTGTGAAGCAAAGAACTGATGTTTATCACGTGAAGGGCGGGGGGGGGGGGGAACCTAGGGAGCCACTCGCTTGATTCCAATGTGGGCTGTCTGTGAGCCTGCCATCCTCTGCCGTCCCCAGACCACTGACTTCAGGAGAACCCTAGTAGGTTTGCTGACAAAGCCCGAAGCCCAAGCCTTCCCAACGTTGTGCAGGCACCATCAAAGGTACCCTTGCTCACCTGAGGGGGTCCTAGATATAGTACAGTGGTAGCTCTCCACACAAGGTGCTCACAGCAAGGCCTAGGAATGCCAGGTCTCTCCCGGAAGACTCAGAACCAATGCCATGCCCTTCCTCCTGACCCAGCTTAGGGGTGGACGCCGAGGGCTTGGCCTGGAAAGAACACATATGTTCAATCTCACCTGCAGTCCTTATTGTGGGACACTAGGCTAGCCAGGCAAATTCTCGAGGCTCAGTTTCCTCACCGATACAGAGGGACTAGGCTGAAATCAGAAGCACACAGGTGGTGTCTGAGCTCAGCCAAGCCAACAACTTAGCAGCAGGCCAGCTGACAGCTGGGATAGGTGTAACACAGGTGAGTGCAGAGAGAACACATCTGGCCCAGGAGAATCAATACCATGCAGATGGCACTAGCCATCATTTCAAATATTCCTCTCCCCAACCCTTGGAGGGAGACAGCTCACTCCCTTTACTCACACACCCACCTTGAAGTTCTGGAATTTTCTAGTAAAAGCCTCAAGACTGGGGATGCTCCCTGGATCCATCTTCATGATGTAGCAGTAGGTACCCGGGGCTGGCTTATAGGCAGTCAGGAGCTAGGCATGTAACACGGGAGGTCATTCAGGAAGGTCCCTTGCCTTGCTCACTCCCCAACCCTGATTCTCAGCCAACTCCCTTTAGATTGGCCATGGGAGACACATCTGAGTCCGAGACTCCAGCATCCGAGGGGAAGCAGCCAGGCACAGAATGGAGAGAGACCTCTGGAAAGAGGTGGTACAACTAGACAGTTCCAGTAAAGTCATATTGGTCCCTCAGGCATACTCACTCGCTGGTAGTCATACACAACAATGCCAGTGGAACCAACGGAGAAGGTAGCAATGGTGTCCATGTGCTCACTCAGGGCTAGGCGTTTCTGAGTTTCCGGTGCTCCGATGCTCATTTCAAGGACCTAGGGAGAGGCTGTCAGAGTGCTGCCTGGCATTCCTCTTTCTTTTCTCAGCCCTTTGGTACCCATATCTACCCAGAGCCCTCTGTTGGAACGCAATTCCCTCTTTCCTGAGATCTCAGGAAGGCTAAAGATCACTGGTGTTGGAGGGACTGGTGGTTATCACACTGTAGGCCAGGGCCTGGGGAAAAACCATCTATGCTGGTCTGCTACCCCATCTCTGCTTGTATCACTCAAGATACGCTCTTGTTTGCCCACCCCAGCAAACTTCCTCTGTCTGACATTCATCGCTGCTACTCTTTGCTCAACCCAGGCCTGCTCACCATCTCAGTATGTTTTTGACTCATGTGAAGGCCCATGAGCAGGGCCCCTACAATCACCACGACAACAAGGACCACCACCACAACCACGATGAGAAGGCGTTTGAGATGCACGGGGCAGCAGGGGATGCGGAACTGGCTCCTGGGACCTGCTGTGTGGTCCTGAAGAAGCGGGGGGGGGGGGGGGGGGGGGGGGGAGCAGAGAGACAAGCAGGCAGTTGAGAGGATGCCCATTCCTCTCCCTGAACCAACCAGATGCACGCTCATACCCCGTTAGGCTATGAATATGCAGAGGAGCGCTGGGGAGACCAGAGGCTTTTGGGAAGGTGGTCGGATTCAAACAAACCCACAGAAACTTAGGAAGTTAGAGGCAAAATCTAGGTTTGGAAGGATCCAAGAGAGCCAGTTAGTAATCGTATGTTCTGTTTTCCCAAGACTCTTGGCACCTCAGACATAGCCAGCATTTTTGTGCCCTTCCCCCTCCCCAAGGATCCAGGTAGCACCATCTCCATATCTTTATGTAGAGTCCCTTTCTTCCTTGTATGCCTTCCTCCTTTGCCTTGTGGGTGCCTGCATATTCTTCCTAGGCAATTTCATGTGTCATCTTCACGCCTATCTGAGGAGCCATTCTCTTCCTTTTTTTTTTTTTTTTTTTTTTTTTTTTTTTTTTTGAGACCCAGGCTGCCTTCCACCTCCTTACATATCTAAAGATAACCCTGAATGATTGTCTTGCTTACACTTCCAAATGGTGTGGACCCCATGCCTGACTTATGGGGTCCTGGGGACTGAACCCAAGGGCCTTTGATTGCAGTGCACTCTTCCCACTGAACTCCATCCCAGCCTCACATGCCATTTTCTCTGTGACCTCCTAATTACTTGGTGACTCTAGCAGTGTTTTTCACAGGCCTTTCTATTGACCCCTACGGTGGTTCTCAACCCCTTTATACAGAAATTCATGGCTGCCATGCCTGCCTCTTCCAGGGACTCTTAATGATCATGGTGTCTCCATCCTAACAGCCTAATCCTAAACTAATTGAAGAAAAAAATCCTATGGAGAATGGAGCAGGCAAGTCCAGTACACTTATGTAAATACACACACACACACACACACACACACACACACACACACACACACACACACAAAACCACACTCACCGGTGGACTCTCCATCAAGACCTCTTTGCTACCCACATCCATTTTGTAGGCTTTCTTCTCTTCTCATCTCTCTAGTGTGGCCAGTGTCCTATATATATCATCAGAGAGAGAGGGGACAGAGGTGAAGGACCAGGTCTTCTGTCTGCCAGCCAAGTCCTTGGCTTTGAAGCTTGTTTATTCCAGGTTTTTCACAGCCTAGGCCCTGATAAGCCAGCTGCAAGAGCCCCCAAGGGCTCTTGGCCTAGGCACATGAATCCTCTTGGCCCCAACAAGAGCAAACCTGGGTGAGGTGAGCAAACTCACCCTCAGGCCACCTGCTCCTCTCACCGTGGGTGTCTTTCTGGCATGTCTGCCTCTCTTGCTGGCACCTGCCCCTGCAGCCCTGTGGCTTCTCTTCGTTTGACAGGCCAAACCTTTCCTGTGGTAGCCAAGAATCTGGCCATCCCTTTCTACCAGATAACCTCCCCCAGGCTCAGACATGAGTTCCATCAGGGACTAAGAAAGTGGTGATTATTGATGGGGGTGGAGAGGTGTCTACTGAAGGAACAGGGCTTGGAACAAAACTGGGGATCCATTAGTGTGGTTTCTGAGACAGGGTCGGTTCCTCTTTATCCTGCTTCCCACACCTGCTGTCTCTAACCTCGGATTTGCTCCAGTCATTTTTCTTACTCTGGAAACCCTTTCCTCACAGCTGCAAACCTCTTACTGGGGGATAAGTCCTGTTTCACTCCTTGCCCCGGGCCTGTCTGTAAGTTGAATGCTCTGACGACTATTCCAGGCCTTAGTTTTTGCCTTCCAGTGCTGAGGATCAAACTTAAGGTCATGAGCATGCTTGGGAAGCCGTTTTCCACTGAGCTACATCCCCAGACATTTTCTCAAGCCAAGATGACCTTGCACAGGGCTGAGTGTGGTCCCAATCAGCCACCTCTGCCCTTCGACCATTCTATCTACCCTTCTGACCTCCTGTTTATATCGTCTAAATTTGCCCAATGTGATTTAACCAAATCCCATTCACTTTCATGACTTCCTCCTTCTCCTCTCTCCCTCCCTTCTCTCTTTCCCCAAATTCTCTCCTGTTGCTTGGGGTACTAAGTCAGTCACATCTACCAGTGACTTCGGATTGGTTGCACCCTTTCAACTTGGCCTTGGCTACATGCCTTCAATTCCCTTTTAAAGATTTATTTATTTTTATTTTATGGGTATGGGTGTTTTGCCTGTGCACCACCTGCATGCCTGGTACTCTTGGAGGCCAGAAAAGGACATGGGACCCACAGGGGCTGGAGTCACAGAGAGTTGTGAGCTTCCATGTGGGTACTAGGTATCAAACTTGGATGCTGTGAAAGAGTAGCCAATGCTTGTAACCACTGAACCTTCTCTCTAGCCCATCCGGTTCCCTTTCAGTTGCTGGCCAGGTGGACTTGAAACATCTTTGCACCTCTCAACTTTTATGAATGTGTAAGCTGGAGCCTAGTACTTCCTTGTATTGACCTGGCACCCTTGTTCTCCTACAAAGCTGCCCCTTAATATCTCCAGATTGTTTTTAGGACTCCTCATGGACACGCCAAATCCACAGGCATGCAAGTCCCTTATACAAATTAGACTATAGAAGTTACATACAACAACCAGGCAGTGGAGGCGCACACTTTAATCCCAGCATTTGGGAGGCAGAAGGATCTCTGTGAGTTTGAGTCAACCTGGTCTACAAAGCTACACAAAGAAATCCTGTCTCAAAAAAGCAGAAAAAAAAAAAAAACAAGAAGAAGAAGAAGAAGAAGAAGAAGAAGAAGAAGAAGAAGAAGAAGAAGAAGTTACATACATATGCATATTCTCACATACTCTTTAAAAACTGCCTTTGAGTAGCCAACAGCTCTCTACTTGCAGACCCCATCAGCAAGACAGAATCCATGCCTAGTACTGGAAACCTAGCTAACTACTCAGTGCTAGTGAAGTCATAATTATTGGAGGAGAATCTACAACCGCTAACTTACCAAACCAGCATAATCCCAATAACACTCTATAAACATTGTCCTTACACCGAAGATAAGTGTAGTCCTCACCCCTCATCAAGGAAACTTCTCTTTACAACAGATAGAGACTGCTACAGAAAACCACAACCAATCAGAATGCAGAGTCGTGGAGCCTGATCCCCACGGATACATCTACAAAAACACGTCACACATAATGCTCAAGGACATTGCAGAAGAAGAGACAGAAGGCTTGTAAGGACCAGAGAATCACGATCAGGGAATTTGCTGTGAGACTTTGTTTCCTAGAAACATCAGATGCTACACACATAGTCTCACCAGCATCACCACCCAAACGTGAATTGAACAAGGATTACACCAACAAATGTACCAAACTAGATGGGAAAAGCCCACAAGACCTCTGTCCTACGCAAAGAACTACAGGCAACTGAGGAAAGCTGGGGCAGGGGGGGTTCATAGAGATGGCCTTCCCCAGGGAAGAGCACACCAGTTTGTTTTCCAGTGCCAAATGGTCAGCCTTGGAAACATCCATATACAGTATCAAAACTAAAAATATGGAAAATGTTTAAATCTTTCCAAAGAAATTGTTTTTTAGGGGCTTGAGAGATAGCTCAGTGGACAAGAACACTGGATGTTCTCCCTGAGGACCTGGGTTCAATTCCCAGCACCCACATGACAGCTCATAACTGTCTGTAACTCCCATTCCAGAGGATCTGACACCCTAACACAGACATGCAGGCAAAACACCAAGGCACATAAAATAATAATAATAATAATGATAAAGATTAAATCTTTTAAAAAAGAAATTGTCTTTGAGATTTATGTTTTGCTTGCATACTTATCTGTTCACCATGTACATGCAGTGCCTTGGAAGCCATAAGAATGAGTCAGATTCCCTGGTCATGGAGTCACAGACAGTTGTAAACTGCCTGACTTGGGTGTGGGGAACTGAACTCTGACCCTCTGCAAGAGCCATCTCTCCAGTCCCTTGTTATTTTGAGACAGCCTTATTTTCTACCCAAGTGGGCCTGGAACTGGTGGCCATCCTCTTGGCTTAGCTTCCTGAGTGCAAGATTTCAGGTATGTGCCACCATGCTCAGTCCCATCTACTGTTGAATTAGTGAAGGCCAAACCTAGAGATGTAGACAGCCAGCTGTACTGGACTTTGAAATATCATTCCTTCCTAGCCTATGCCCCAGGCTCCTTAGCGCCTTGCCCTTGCCTTTGATCATGAGCAGGCCCCTTTCTCTCCAGCCCTGGCAACTGCCCCTGCCCCCCAAGGATCCCTCCCCAGCTGCAGGGCCTCAGTCTCAAGGTTATACAACAGCATAGCATTTGAGATGAGAGCTCCTGAGCACTTAGTGGAGAGGAGAAGGAAGGAAATGTTTGCTCCTACCATCCTCCTCGCCCCTCTAACTGCCTCCTTAAATATTTGCCTAAGCCTCCCACCGCTCAGCAAAGTGTCTTAGCATGAGTGGAAGAAGGGAAGGGCTGAGGGAAGGAAGAGAGGGCAAAGCCAGTGTCCTCTCCCCTTGGTTGTGTGCAGGTGACAGACGTAAAAGACAGCTGGCCTGCACTGCCCACCTCCCTGCCCATCCCCCAGGCTCCCACTCCTACCCTGGGTTGTCCTGGAAACCTCGAGATTGATGGCTGACTCACACACACTGGGCCTGAGCCAGGTGGGCAGCAGGCCAGCAGGAGAGCCAAGAACTGCAGGCATCTCGGGGTCCCTTTGGGCATCTCGGGGGGCCGCAGTGTCCAGTTTGTGGTACTTATTCCGAACAGGAGCTACAGCTGGGGCTTGTCATCATCACTAAGTGTGGAGAGAACCACTCTGTTCTCTCTCAGGTCCTCAGTCTCCCCTGCAGGCTGCCCTTAGGCTGGGTTCTCGTAGCATTGCGACTTTAAAACAACAGCAACAACTTGATCTGTCTGTTTGGGGACTGGGAGAAGCTGCTGTCAGAAATTTCAGATGTTTCTCAATACCTGGTAGGAGTCTTGGGTTCCTTGGTGAGGAAGAGAGGATGGGTATGGAGAGAGGGATTGGGGAAAGAGGGAAGCTGTCTCTTCAATTGGGCAGACACAGCCCTCAACCTTGCCCTCTAGGCCAGCCCTGGGGTACAGCATTCTTTATTTGCTTTCACTGAAGCTAGTCCTCACTGTGACTACCATTCACCCTTAAAGGCCAAGAGTCAATGGCATCTGCTCTGTGACCCCTCTATCCTAGCTCCAGATTCTGAAATCCTTTCATTGCCCCCCCCAAGTTTATTCCATTTAGCACACATAATGTTAACTGGAATCAACTATGAAAGGTGGGAGGAAGGTTGTCACCCTGCCTTTTGTGAACCTGTCACAGGGGAAGGAGCATGCACACTGCCCCACATGTGATGATATGCAACCACAAGACAGTTACCCAACACAAGGAGTCCTTTGGTACCCGAGGTCTGTGTTCTCCCTGGAAGCTCTGGAACCCACAGAGCTTTTCTAAACTTTACTGTGTTCTGAAATGGGACTACTACCACCTGCCTTCTCCCCCTCACTAAGCTGTCCTGACACTGCAATGACTTCCTGGATATGAAAGGCCAACCGTCATCACTATCATCTACTTCATCCACAGGGTGCCTCTCACTAGCTAAGCCTATGATCCAAACTCCTCCCCCTTGTCTCTGGGTTGCCCTCTGTAAAACTGCGCGCAGTGGAAAACCTTACAGTGGCCACTATCCCTTTCCTGCTCCCAGCCCCTCAGCTGCACGATCCAGGACAAGATTCACTCTGCCCTTTGTGTGCTGGGCAAAGCCGTGCCAGGGACGAGTGGGGATGGTTGTCCAGCTGCCCCAGCCATCCTCCCTACCCCTCCTTGCTCCTTTCCCTCAAGCTGGCATGCACAAGGCAGCATGGGCAACTGGACCAGCAGAGGCCAGTGAGTGTCAAAAGGCAGGAGTATCCCAGCCTGCAAGAAGGGGGACTTTAACTCAGAGCAGGGATTTCCCCTGAGGGCTGAAGCTGGGACAGTTGGGAAAGATGCTTTTTTTTCTTAGGTGGGGTCCCCTTATATGGCCAGGCTGGCCTTGAACTCTTGATCATCTTACCTTAGCCTCCCTTTAGAACAGTGGTTCTCAACCTGTCGGTCAAGACCCCCTCCCAGGGGGGGGGGCGGGGGGTTTGAATGGCACTTTCACAAGGGTTATCAGATATCCTGAATGTCAGATATTTGCATTATAATCCCTAACAGTAGCAAAATTACAGATATGAAGTAGCAACCAAAATAATTTTATGGCTGGGGATCATTACAACAGGAAGAACTGTGTTAAAAGGTCGAAGCATTAGGATAGTTGAGAACCACTGTTCCAGTGTTTGAATACATGCTTGCACCACTACACCTGGTCGGTTTACATATCTCTTTGTTTCCTTTTTGAGACAAGGTCCCAAGGATCCCAGGCTAGGCTCAAACTTGATATATAGCTGAGGATAACCTTGATCTTCTGTTTCTCTTACCTGCCAAGTGCCGGGAGCAGCCATATATCTATATACCTTTAAAAACTGAGGTGCGGAGGTGGACCACACTAATGGCAAACACTCTAACAACTGATCTGGGGGCTTGAACCCAGGGCCACTGAACTATATTCTCCAACGTCTGTCTACATCTTTAACAAAATTTATTGCAAAAAGCCGGGCAATTCTGGTACACACCTTTAATCCCAGCACTTGGGAGGCAGAGGCAGGAGGATCTCTGTGAGTTCGAGGCCAGCCTGGTCCACAAAGCTACAGAGAGAAACCCTGTTTCCAAAAAAAAAAAAAAAAAAAGCAAAATTATTGCATCCATTATTTATTTATTTAGGGAGGCATTGGCATGTCTTGACATGTGGAGATCAGAGGATAGCTTTTACAATTGAGTTTCTCCTTCCACTGTGTGGGTCCTAGGGATCGAACTCAGGTCATCAAGCTTGGTGACAACCTGCTGAGCCATCTCATCAACCCATATGCCTTTGCCTTTTTAAACAAAAATAGCTGTAGAAAGAAGTGTTGCTGTTATATTTTTGCAAATCTCGTTAGTCTGAGGTTTCATAAAAGACTTGCCATGGAGCTCTGGAAAATTCCAGAGTACTTTCATCACAACATGGAAGTGAAAAAGACAAATAATGTCCTTCTTAGGTAAAGTATGGTGACCTCAAAGACTCCGCAGGAGGTTCTCAAGGAGCTTTGGACTTCCACGGTTGCCCTTTGAAGAGCACTGGTGTAGAAGGATTGCTGTGAACTTCAAGTTGGACTTCTGGGCCTAGGGCTACACTTTTCTTATCTGCAGAAGGGAATTAAGGCCCCTTCCCTCCAAAGGGTCAGCCAATTAACCATGCCAAGTACACCTTAGAGATATGGATTTTGGCTTCTTTTCCCTTGCCTGTGGCCTCAGTTTCCTTGTTGATAAAACAAAGACCTGAACTGGAGCACAGCCAAGGTGCTACCAGCTCCATCTGACTGTGGTTGTGCGGTGTGAAACGCTCCCGGATTCCACACTTCCCACTCCAGCTCCAGTGGCTACCTTTCCCTTTTCAGCTCACAGGCACAAAGGCACACTCTGTTCCTCAGCTGATGCAAACATGCTCGCACCCTCAAGCTCCCGCTCTCTCATGCCAACCTGGATGTACATGAGTCACTTGCGACATACCCCTGAATTATATGCCTCCTCACAGCCAAGACATACACACAGGTGCAAATATGTCCACGGATCCATGGGCACCGTGCACTTGCACATTCTCACACAAATGCACCCGCTACACACACAGCCTTGGAGATCAGACACAGAGGCTGGTGGCCTGGTAAGGCACGCTGCGGACGGGTGCAACCACTCCATCCTTTGGCTACTCTCCCGCGGGCGCTCGGCCTGGGCCTCCCCGCTCCGCCCCCGCGCGCGCCCCCGCCGCCCGCGCCGCAGTCCGCGTCCACCAGCCCTGGCAGCCGGTACTTGCGGTCCCAGTTCCGCGCAGCGCTTCCGAGCTGAAAGGACTGCAGCCAGCGCCTGAGGTCAGGAGGAATAGGTGGCGCCTAGAGTGCGGGAGGCCCAGAGCTGCGGCAGCCCAGCCGGAGGTGGAAGCTCCCTAGAGGAGCAGAACATCCTGCAGGGAGCAGCGGGGCGCCGGCAGGCCGGTGTTGGGGAGACCCTGCAGGAGGCATGGCGGGGCTAGGAGCCAGGCTGGGCCCTGGGCGCAGGCTACTGGTGTTGTCCACGCTGGGTTTTTGCCTAATGCTGCAAGCCAGTGCCAAGAGACCTCCTAAGACGCCCCCCTGCCCACCCAGCTGCTCCTGCACGAGGGACACCGCCTTCTGCGTGGACTCTAAGGCAGTGCCCAAGAACCTGCCTTCAGAGGTCATCTCCCTGTGAGTGTGTACCTAGCCTTGGGGGTAGGGAAGGGAAGGAGGGCAGGGAGGGCTCTGGAAGAGAGAAAACCCTGCTCCTCTCTTCAGAGGATACAGACCTGGAGCATCCCCAGGGACTTCCAGGCCCCAGTCTGCAGGGAGCTCTGCAATCATACAGCAGCCATAGCTTGGGAAAGCCAGAGTTCATGGCCAAGGATGAATCATCACCCCAGTAGCATAATGAGACCTACTATGTGTGGGTTGGAGGGAGTGTCTACAAGAGCATGCTGGCCCCTCCCTGCGAGGTCACACCAAGGACAGAAAGCAGGAGGACTGATGGCATCAGGGGGAGGGGTGACAAGTGAGATTGCCCTCGTGGTACCTTGGCACGGGCCAGACTGCTGCCACTGGGTCTGCACACAGCTGGGCCAGCCTCACTTGTAGCAACTGGCCCATGACCTCCCATCCCTTGCCTGTAGGACTAGAGAGGCTGCCGGTCCCTCATCTTGCTTCCCATCCCTCAGCAGCTCCAACACAATGCGGGTGTTATTAATGGTGATGGTGATAGTGATGGTGATGGAACCTGCTGTTGGCTGAGAGGGAAGGTGAGCCTGGGGCCGCTGGTGCCCCTGGAGGCAGCAGCAGAGAATGGTGAAAGAGAGCATTGAGTTTGGGAAGTAAAGGAAGATGCAGGTGGGGGCTTGAGCTGCTAAGAGCAGAAGCCACTGCCCTGTCCACCTCTGTGCCCAGAACAGGTCCTTCAGACACTTACACAGTATTGACTCATGTGTTCCTTGCAGGACCCTGGTGAATGCTGCTTTCTCAGAGATCCAAGATGGAGCCTTCTCCCACCTGCCACTTTTACAGTTCTTGTATGGATGGCTTTGTGGAAGGGCGGGCGGGAACATGATAGAACCAGACAGATGCTGAGCTTGTGTGAGAGTAGGTGGAAGAAGTGTTTGAAATTGCAGATGCCCTGATAGACTGCTGCAGGAGGTGGAGTGACATGGGGTCAGGAGTCCAGGCAGCAAGGAAACTGCACACAGAAGCCAAGAACGTGGGACGTAGAACACAGATTTGACTTCTGTAGAGACTCTAGGAAATTGGGTGTAATGGCTTGGGCCAGAGCCAAAGACTGGACACTTTGGAGGAGAGGGTCATTTTAGATACAGGTGACTCTGGGGGTCAGAGTTTTGGAGGCATGGTGGAGAACTGTCTGTTCAGGGCTAGAGTGGGTTGGTGAAAGAGATGTTACGGAGGTAGACCAGGAGCCAACTTGGCAGTACAACATTGCCTCTCCACCGTATTTAGGAGCAAACAGGGAGCTTGTGATGCGGGAACAAGTTCACATCTGGTCTTGCTGTCCAGGAGTCCTGGGGTATGGAGGAAGGACAGCCAGATCTTGAGGAAGCTCAAGGGTGGGGCAGTGGGCATGGGCAGCAGGCACACCCTTGCAAGTTCTAATGCCACCTTTGTCTTCCCAGGTTACTCAACTCCAACAAGTTCACGCTCATTGGAGACAATGCCTTCACAGGACTGTCGCACCTGCAGTACCTGTGTGTGGGAGGGAAGGGTTAAGGGCAGGGTAGAAGGAGGGACCCCAGGTCTGAGTGGGCTGAGAGGGGAGGTGCAGTGAATGAGAAGGCTAGCTGGGGGATGGGATGGGCAGAAAATCATAGCAGCCATGCCCCTGTTGTCTTGCCTAATACCCTGTCACTACGGGTGTGATGGTACTGCACAGTGTGGAAGCCTGTCTCTGGCTCCTGGGGTCTGGCCTCAGATGTAAAGAAATCACTGCTGGGGGGGGAGGGGGGTCTTTGACCCTGAGTAGCAACTGAGGCCGGTTCTTATTTCTCCAGCTTCGTCGAGAACAATGACATCTGGGCACTCTCCAAGTTTACCTTTAGAGGACTCAAGTCCTTGACACACCTGTGAGTACTTGATACCTATACTCATGTGGGACTAGAACCTGTGTGTCCTCTGGATTTGGTCGTGGTCTTTAGATGACCCCAGGGTCTTTCTTGCAGCTCACTGGCCAACAATAACCTGCAGACACTGCCCAGAGACATCTTTCGTCCCCTGGACATCCTGAGTGACTTGTAAGGCCTGGATTCTGCCTCCTCCCACAATGTCACAGAGGGCATACCCCTGGAGGGAGTCGAGTGGGAGTCAGAATTAGGGTGATCAGAGACTGGGAAGGTTTGGGTTTGGGGACTTTGAGAAAGTGAAGTCAAGTTAGCTGTAGCTAAGAGCCTTCCAAATTGGGGCTATTCAAGTCCCCATAGCCCTTCTCAAATGCACATTACATATGTATGACAAACATGGTTTTTTTTTTTTATGATGTGTGGTTGATTTGGATTAATTAAAGTCTAGCATATCTGCAGTCATTGGCCATTATTTATACAAAAATAAAATAAGAGAAAAGCTCCTGAATTCTATCAAGTTTGGAGGAACAGGGAAGCAACATGCAGTGGAATAGGTTGGCCACTGCAAAAGGTGCCTGGCCACCAGGACCAGCTTTACAGGCCTTGTAATCCCAGATACTCGGGAGGCTCAGCTGGAGGATCATAAACAATAAAATTTTGTCTTATGGCTAAAAAGTAAAAATAGGACTGGTGATTTAGAGCACTTGCCTAGAACGTGCAAGGGCCTGGGCTCCAATCCCCAGCATTACAAAAATTTAATCAAAAGTTAAAAACAAAAACAAAAACAAAACAACAAAGGCACCCGGCCAGGTAGGTAAGCAAGCAGGGCTTAGGTTCAACCAGTACACCTCAGACTACACCTGTTCTGTGGGGCTGGGTGGAACCCAGTTATTTGTGAGCAGTCCACAGCAGCTTCTGAAAGCCAGGTGGGCTGGTGGGTAGAGCAGCTGAGGGTGTGCCCCTCTGTGCCCTACCCTCACAATCCAGAGACCTCCGGGGCAACGCACTTAACTGTGACTGCAAGGTGAAGTGGCTGGTGGAATGGCTGGCACACACCAACACCACTGTGGCCCCTATCTACTGTGCCAGCCCACCCCGCTTCCAGGAGCACAAGGTGCAAGACTTGCCTCTTCGGGAATTTGACTGCATCACCACCGGTAGGATGGGCCTTGCCTCTGACTGAAGGCCACCCAACTGGGCACACCCAGCTTCTATAGCCAGGTCCCTACCACCACCCAGTGGGCTGGTGCCTTTTCCCGTGGTGTTGATTCCCGCCTACCTGTACCTCTTGTCGCTGCAGATTTTGTCCTCTACCAGACACTGTCCTTCCCAGCAGTGTCAGCAGAACCCTTCCTTTACTCCAGTGACCTCTATTTGGCTCTGGCCCAGCCAGGTGCCAGCGCCTGCACCGTCCTGAAGTGGGACTATGTGGAACGACAGCTTCGAGACTATGATAGAATTCCAGGTAGCCGCATGGGACCTGCCCATGCTGGTCCCATCCAGGGGAAGGTGACAGGAGGCTCTGTTGTCCAACTCCAGTCAATTCCTCAAGGAAGAAGCATGGGTGAAAATATGGTTTCTGCTGGTTAAGATTTTACTGAGTTTGAGGAAGGCTAGTGTCTACAAAATAATATCTATAGAATACAGGCCTTTAATGCCGGCACTTGGGAGGAAAAGAGGTGGATCTCCGTGAGTTTAAGGTCACCAGTGCTACACAATAGAGAGACTCCGTTTCAAACAATAAATACATAAATTCAATCCTGAGAGCTAGGGATGAAGCTCAGTGGGTGGAGTACTTGCCTAGCACGTACACAGTATGGGCTGGTGATGGTTCACACCTATAATCCCAGTTTTTGAGAGGTGAAGGTGGGAATATGAAGAATTCAAAACCAGACTTGACTGTATATCGAGAACCTGTCTCAGAAGACAACAAAACAAAACAACAACAACAAAAAGCAAAGCTTGCTGGGTATGGTGACTCACACTTGTAATCCCAGCACTTGGGAGGTAGAGAAAGAAAATCACTGCTAGTTCAAGACCAGCCTGGTCTGTATCATAAGGTCCAAGCAGCCAGGGCTTCCCTGTCTCAACAAACTAAGCAAACAAATGGAACAAATTATGGACCTGGAGTTCTGGGTGGGACTGTGCTGGGAGTGGAATTCTATAGCAGATGTTAGTTGTGGGGCATGTTTGGAGGTTGGTCTTCCATTTGGGTGGAGAAAGGTGGGAGCTGCCTGACATTGCCTAATTCTACATGCTTCTGTCCTGGCAGCCCCCTCAGCTGTGCACTGCAAGCCGATGGTGGTGGATGGCCAGCTCTATGTAGTCGTGGCCCAGCTGTTCGGTGGCTCATACATTTACCACTGGGATCCCAACACCACACGTTTCACAAAGCTGCAGGACATCGACCCACAGCGTGTACGCAAGCCCAATGACCTGGAAGCCTTCCGCATCGACGGTGACTGGTACTTTGCAGTGGCTGATAGCTCCAAGGCAGGTGCCACTAGCCTCTACCGTTGGCACCAGAATGGCTTCTATTCCCACCAGGCCCTGCACGCCTGGCACCGTGACACTGACCTGGAGTTTGTTGATGGTGAGGGCAAGCCACGGTTGATTGTGTCTAGCAGTTCTCAGGCACCTGTCATCTATCAGTGGAGTCGTTCTCAGAAGCAGTTTGTGGTTCAGGGAGAGGTGACCCAGGTACCCGATGCCCAGGCTGTGAAACACTTTCGTGCTGGGCGAGACAGCTACCTGTGTCTTAGTCGCTACATTGGTGACTCCAAGATCCTGCGCTGGGAGGGTACCCGTTTCTCTGAGGTGCAGGCCCTTCCCTCCAGGGGTTCGCTGGCCCTACAGCCCTTCCTGGTGGGTGGCCACCGCTACCTGGCACTGGGCAGTGACTTCTCCTTCACGCAGATCTACCAGTGGGACGAGGGGCGACAGAAGTTTGTACGGTTCCAGGAGCTAGCTGTACAGGCCCCTCGGGCCTTCTGCTACATGCCTGCTGGAGATGCCCAGCTGCTCCTGGCCCCTAGTTTCAAGGGACAGACACTGGTGTACCGACATGTTGTGGTGGATCTCAGTGCCTAGAAGGAAGTTAAGTCCTTTGGGTTCCTCAGGGTGGCGCTGAATGCTGGGTAGAGACCTCTGTGAGCAACTTGTGGCTCCGAGTGAAGTCACATGTGACTAACCTATATCTGTGCCCACACACATACACACAAAAGTGGGCCTGGGCACATACCAGGGAAGTCATTCCCATTATTGTAATCGGCACCTATGTATGCACCAGGCACCCGGTGTTCAGGTTCTCCTCTGCGTGCCCCCTTATCTACAGTGCCCCCATGCTCTGCTCCCTCGCTAGTGTGTCTGAGTGATACAGTGGCTGCAGGAACAGGCGAGCCATGGCCTTTTCTTCTCGGCTTAGCCTTCTGCCCTCTGGCCTTTCCTGCGGATGCTCAAGGTGTTCGTGTATTTGTGTAGCATCCACAGTTGCAGCCTCCGTCCAGGTGTGCCCACACTTTCAAGTGCGTCTGCCCATGCCATGCTCTTTCCACCTGCACACGTGGGTGGACACTGTTGGACATATCCAAGCTACATACTTGTGCATTCCCGGCCACACTCCTATTTTCATATGTGCACACGTCTGGGAGTGTGCACACATGCAGACTGGGTGCTAAACAAACAGGCTTCCCCACTATCACCTAGCTGCTCTTCTTGGAGGGTGCCTACAGCACTGACACCTCCTCCGCTCACCTCAGTGTGCCCCCTTTGTGGCTAATAAGGATGATAACAGTAAGCATGGCCATGGCCTCCTGGGGACAAAGCGCCTTCATCCTGAAGCAATAATAGCAACAGAGGCAATAGCAACTGGATTTTTTTGCAGTGCAGTATACCTTTTCTTCTTACTAGAGTTTTCTTCCACAACTCAATCACAGCTCACCCGGACACAGGTGGAAAAGCTTGCTTGGGGTAGCCATTGCTTTTTCAAGATTGGGCAGTCCCCTCTCTCACCCCACCTTTGGGATGTGGACCCTGAACTGAGACTGCTTGGGTGGATATAAAAAATGGCCAAGGCAAGAAGCCTGAAAGCACCCGAGCCACTTGTGTGAGGGCCAGGAACATGGGGTCCCTACCATCTCTCCATCCCATGGAGACGCCCCTGGAAGCTGGCTCTGGCTTGGTGGAGGCTGGATGTGGATGACAGGAAGGACACCTGGGAACCAGGCTTCTGCTGCCCTCTGCTGTCCACTGGGAACAGCAGCCCAGAAGCAGGAAATGGCCAGATTGAGAGGATTTCTTGTGGCCTGATGCCCTGGGGCACCTAGGGGCAATGCTATTCACTTGCTTCAAATAAAAAGTTCCACCCTACCGCTAGCTCTCAGGTGTCCTCAGGGTGTTTTATTAGGAGCAGAGCCAGGGTTGTGTCACCTGTCCCTGCTACACACAGGGACCATACCGGCTTCCAGGTCCTCTTCCTCTTGGCTCCTTTCCCTCAGAGCAATGGGCATCCTTAAAGTTAACTGACACTAGGGTCAGGAGTTCACGGCTATGCCACTCAGGAGTTGGGCTGTGTGAGGAGTTTCTTCCACCTGGGTCTGACTCACAGCCCAGTGCTTCTTCCTGGAGATTACAGGTCTGGGACCCGCTAAGACCTAGGTCTGTTCCTTTGTTAGGAAGACTTTAAGCAACATGGCAAAGACATGTTCAGCCCTCAGCAGCCCTGTCTTTGTACCATCCCCTTCCTGAGCTCCCCACTGGGCAAATGTCTGCCATTGTCATTGCCCCTCACCAAAGTGAGGCACCTTGGAGTCCTAGGTAACATCTTGGTCCCTCTTCCTCCCATTTTTAACCAGCCACCAATTCCCCATTCTTTATCTCTGAATGTTTCCAAATGAGCATTCTTTTTTGTCCCTTGCCCTGCCACATCCTTTATCCAAATCTGTCCTCATTACTAGTCTCCAGGTCCCTCCTGCCAGCCTATTTCTTAGATCCTTCTAGTCCAGCTTTCCTGAAACATCTCTCCATTATGTCATCTGCTACCCAGGAGCCTGCTTTGGCTCCTGCTCTTCTGAAAACAAACCCATGGCTTTGCGGCTGACATCAAGCTCCCCCGGACTGGTGCCAACAGATGCAGCAGCATCAGTTCCTCTCCTGCCTGCTTTCATTCTGTCATTTTCGGAGACTTTGACAGTAAGAATCTGCAACACAAGGAGGAGGGAGATCATTAGACAGGGGCTAGGGCAGAAGCAATGACCAGGGTCACCAGGCAGCATAGAGCATCTTAGGAAGAGCACATAGCTCTGTGCTGCCAAACTGCCATGCTCAGCTGTGGGACTCCTGTCTTTGTCACTCCCCTCCACCCAGACTTGAGCAAATGGGAACCCTTTGCCATCTTATGTGAAAAGAAACAGGGAAAGGGGCAGAAATGGTAGATATGACAACAACTTCAGCAGGCCTGAAGTATGCGTGGCAACAACACACACATACACACATAGGCCTCTTCCCTTCTCCTGCTTCTCATCTGTTCTCCATGGCCCCTTTCAGCTCTCACATGTCACATATATGTTTGTCTTAGGGTTTCTATTGCTGTGAAGAGACGCCATGGCAAATCTTATAAAAGGAAACATTGAACCGGGGCTGGCTTACAGTTTCAGAGGTTTAGTCCATTAGCATTCAGGAAGTGTGCGACGTGCAGGCAGACTTGAAGCTGGAGAAGGAGCTGAGAGTTCTGCAGGCAGCAGGAAGACAGAGGGAGACACTGGGCCGGCAAGGGCTTTTGAAACCTCAGAGCCCACCCCCAGTGACACATTTTTTCCAACAAGGCCACACCTCTTGGTTCTTCCCAAGAAGTACCACTCTCTGATGACTAAGGATTCAGATATATAAGTCTATGGGGTGGTTCCTATTCAAACCACCACAGTGTCCATGTGTACCACATATCACTGGTTTGTAGCAAGGGAAGTACACCAGTTCTGAAAGTTCCAGAACATGCATCTTTAGCATGCTCCGAACTCAACAGTCTGGACCACACATGCATAGATGTGGGCTCGATTACTGTGTGTGGTGTCAACTAATTTCCCTAAACCTCAAATCCTGCAAAGCAGATTAGCAAACCTACTTTTGTAGAGTCCTGAGTCAGTTCACTTACTGAGGAAAATGGCATTTGGTCACTTTGCTTTGCCTATATGTGTCTCAGTCTCTTCATCTTCAAAGTGGGTTTAATGATGCCTAACCACCAGGTGTGGTGATATATTATTTATGATTTATTAAAGTTTGCCTGAGGATTCAGAAAGCAAAGCCAGCCACAGGCCATAGAAGTCAGGCACACACCTTTAATCCCAGCAGCCAGAAGCTAGGAGGTGGTGGTACACACCTTTAATCCTAGGACTAAGGATTAAGAGATAGACGGATCTCTGTGAGTCCAAGGCCATCTAGATCTGCACAAGATTGATCCAGTCCTAAAGAGAAACAGCTCACACAAAGATGATCTCAGCACCTGGGATCACACACCTTTAAACCCAGCAGTAGGGAGGTATATAAGACAGGAGCAAGGTCTCAGTATCAGGCATTCATTCTCCAGCCACATTGAGGATAGGAGGCATTCAGTCTCAGGATTCTCCAGCCACGCTGAGGAGAGGCAGCGGGATCAGCCCATTCAGCCTGAAGTAGTGGTAAGAGCTAGTGGCCTGATACTTTGCTTTTCTGAAGTTTGAACCCCAATATCTGTCTCTGCTACAAACAGGGTCAACTATTGCAGGACAGACTAGTGCATGTGAGGCCCAGCTTACCTCCCATGAGACTTAAGTGCATTAATACAGATGGATGTGTGTCGGTGCCTTTGAAGAATGTGCCTGACACATAATTATGAGCTATTTGATCTGTAGGATTGTATTTGAGACGAAGTGGCCCCAAGAAGTGGAATTCATGAGAGTGAAAGAAAGGCAATCCTTGGTGACGAGTGCTCTCTGAGAGTGGGGGTTCCTCCACCACCTGCATTCTTAGAGCCTCTGCACACTACCTCTCATCTGTGGCTTCAGACACCCAGCCCTCCTGACTATCCCTGGTCACAGCTCAAAGTGACAGGTCTCGGTTTCCATCTGCTCAAATCACATTCCTGTGCTTTTAGCAGAGTGGAGACCCTTGAGTCCTCTCTATCCCATCCCAGGGTTGCCTCTCTCCCTTGATTCCTTCCTTTTGACATGGTCTCATATAGCCCAGGCTGCTCTTAAACTCAACTGTGTAGTCAAGGATAACTTTGAACTTCTGATTCTTGACTCCTCTTCCCAAATGCTGAGATTGCAGCTGTGTATGACCATGCCACTTTTATGTAGTGCTGGATATTGACCCCAGGATTTTCATGTATACCAGGCAAGCACTATATCAACTCAGCTACATGCCCAGCCACTGTCCTTTTTTTTTTCAAATGGAAAACAAATGCACCCTTACCCGTGCCCAATGAGGTTGCCAAGGGAAATGGCTTTAGTCTCCTAGACACCTTGGCCTTCTGTTGCCCAGTTGCAAGATAAACACTGCTCCTAACAAGCCACTCCCTTCAGTAGAGACATTCTCTCCATCAAACCTTGAATGCCCAGCTTTCTATGGCAAGGCTGCCTGGTCACCTGCCTGGGTGGTCAGCCATGAGTCCATGGAGCTGCTTAGCAACTCAGGGTAACTGGGTGACTGTGTCAACAGCTCAGGACCAAAGGCTGTAAGAGCCAAAGTTGACTTACTCTGTCCAAGCCAAGGAGGGTGATAGTTGGCTGCCAGCTCCACATCCCTCTGTGAGGACCAGCCCCCTGCCCCCTGGCTCTCAGCATCAGACCTCTGACTTCCTGCCCTTTAATTCTCCCAAGCACAGGCATCATGGCCAGGAGTCTCCAAGGAGAGACTGTCACAGCTGGGATAGTTCACAGTGGGCACAGGCAAGCTCTTGCCAGTGAATGAAAGCAGAGGAAAGCTTTCTTTCTTTCTTTCTTTCTTTCTTTCTTTCTTTCTTTCTTTCTTCTAAGACAGGATTTCACTGGGAAGTCCAGGCCACCCTTGAAATCAAATCCTCCTGACTCAGTCTCCTAAATGCTTGAATTGTAGGC